TCATTGTTGTTTGGCGGGCCCAGGCTGGATTCGAACCCCCCACCTTAGGTGTATGTGGCTGGCGCCTTAGCCACTTGACCTACAGGCGCCGAGCCTGCAAATTTCTTTAGTGTCTAGGTTAATAGAAGATTTTCCTGTTTGCTTTTGCATTCAATCTATTGCAATATCACAGGACACGTAGTCTCTGGAAAACCCCCACTGTATTGTTATTAGACTGGAAAAGGCAAATAAAGTCTTAGTATGAAGTTAATTTTGATTTTGTGGAGAATCATTGATTTAGACATCACTATATCTACTTTTTAGTTGCCTAAGCTTCCAAAGTACACTCTCTCTGACGTTTTCTGCAGCTATATAAACAAATTCACCTCCCAGATAAGAGATTATGGCTGCAATTTTATTTAGCATACATGAATATTTTAGAAACAATAATTTTTTAATGAATAGGAATTCTTAGGGAAGTCATTTTTCCCTTTCACTGGCAAGGAAAAAATTATCCCCTTCATTGTATACACCCTAATCTGATAGTAATACTTTCCTCTTTGGGGACTGGATACTTAAGGTGTATGTTAGACAAATAGCAATAGCACTACATTGGGTGTCTTGTACATGTTACTCAGCGTTACAGCAGAATCTATTAATTTACTGAGTCTTTCCTGTGACTGAGGCATGTGTTAAGTACTTTATATGCATTATACATTTAATTCTCACAATAATCCTACAAAGTGGCCAATACTGTCATTTCTTTCTTTCTTTCCTTTTTTTTTTGGAGACAAAGCCTCAAGCTGTCATCTTGGGTGGAGTGTTGGGGCTCACAGCTCACAGCAACCTCCAATTCTTAGGCATTGTCTCAGCCTCCCTAGTAGCTGGGACTCAGGCGTCTGCTACAACCCCGGGCTGCTTTTTGGTTGTAGTTGTCATTGTTGTTTGGCAGGCCCGGGCTGGGTTCGAACCTGCCAGCTCCGGTGTATATGGCTGGCGTCCTAGCCGCTTAAGCTCAGGCGCCCAGCCACTGTCATTTCTTTTTTACACATGAGTAAATTGAGATTGAGCAGTTGTTAACGCTCAGTGTTCTGCAGGACTGAGCCAGGATCTGAATCCAGGAAATCTGACTCAGTCTATTATCTAATGATAAAGTATAAAGGTAAGAGATAGAGTGAGATCAGTATAAAATGACTGTAGTGTGAGAAGGTTGGCAAAGCACGAAGCCTTTCGAGGGCTGAACGCACTGTGTTACTTTCCACCCGTCCACGTTTTATTTTCTACACGCTTAAGTTCCACTTTTCATTTTTAAGCCATTTCATTGCCAGTGGCTTCGTCCCTTAGGCCTGACGCTGACCCTGAAATTAAGGAGCGAAAATAAATCAGCGTTGGGTGGGGCAAACCCACGTGGTAACCACGGTAACGCTGGTGGGGCGAGAGCCCTGCGCAAGCGCATTACATCCCAGGTCGGCCAGCCCACCCCTGGGCTGCCAGCCTGGGTCCCTCCTCTCTGCCTCCGACTCCAAGGGCGGGCCACAGCAGGCTAGGGGGAGCGAGGCCGGGGCTGGGCGCCTGCGCAGTGGCTGGGGCGCTGGTGTGCTCGAGCTCACGTAGCGAGGGCCGCTGTCGCGGCCTAGAGGTTATAAAAGGGCTAACTGGCTCCCTCTGCTGCCCAGTTGCGCCGCCAGCGGGCTGAGGGGAGGGAGTAGGTAGCCGGTCCGGGTGCAGGCGACAGGGGACCCAAGAGCGCGCCACCATCCTGTCCCACTTTACAGGTGAGACGCTCCCTCGACCTTGGGTGCTGAAGTGGAGGCCCTTGGGCAGCGGTGGTCTGTCTCGGATGGCTGCGGCGATTCGGTCCTCTCCGCTGTGGTGGGATGGCTTGAGGGCGGGGGGTCTCCAGTTCACGCAGCAGCCTCGGGACCTTTTCCTCTGGAGACTCGGCCCCTCGCCCTGCGCCGCGCGGCTCCTGGCTGCGGTGGCCCGGCTGCCCGTCGCCTCGGTACTCCCCTTCTCACCTCCGTCCCCGTCGTGCCTCCGACCCTCGGGGCTGCGGCAGCCTCCGTCCCCGCCGCGGGGACCAGAATTTTCTTGAATTTTCCTTTCCAGGGAGGAATCACCCTGTTGACTTTTCCAAGCTCCCTTCGTACCTGGTCCTCCTAGGAAGCTGAGGGCGGGGCGTGGTTTTTTGGCCGCCACAGCCGCAGATGGTTGGCGTGTGGCGATGGAGAGTGGATTTTAAAAGCTCAAGCGGACGCACTCCAGGGGTTTTCGCCCTGTCGAAAAGTCGTGGGTCTGGGAAGTGGATCAACCCAGAAAGTTCTGGCTGAACTCATCTGTTGCACGGGGCGGTGCTTCCTCGGCAGCTAGACATAGCCCCGGGCGCCGAGTTCAGTGCGGCTGGCGCGGAGGAAGTCCGCTGTCAGGTCACCTAGTTATTGGGGAAGCTAGGCTCCTTCCTTCCCTCTTCTTGGTAAAAAAATTCTAAAGGCACCAGAACGCTCCGCGCTGCTCTCTCTGTGATTTGCAGCTTTTAAAAATCCACATCACTTACATGGCTGCGTGAGACTTTCGAGTTAGGGTTAGAGATGTATGTTTAAAGGGGGGAAGAAGGCTGGCAACTTGAGACTATTTCTCCTAAATGATCTGATCTTTTAAATACAAGTCTGATTAGATTATGACTTCCGACAGGAGAAGACCTTTGGAATTTTGCGCTTTCTTGAAGAAAGGGCTTGAAGAAGCTGCTAGATCCCCTTTTAGGAATCGATCTAAAAGGCCAAAGAAACTTGCCAGTTTGAAACCGTTCCACTTAACTGTTTCTGGTTTCTCCGAGAGCTGTGGTTCTTGGACTTTCCTTGGAATGCACTCTGAAGGGGTGAAGTAGCCACTACATGAGTGGGGGAAGGGGAGAGACGTGGCAGCAGAGTTTTTTCATCAACCTTTTGGTCCTTTTTTTTTTTTTTTTTAAGGTTCTGGGTAGAAACCTATCCCCTTTTAGGCTTAGATGTAGCTTATGAATGAGGCTAGTCTTTTCCTAAAATAATCAGATGAAAAATTGAGGCTACATAGCAGGAACACTGGAAGTTGACTTTAAAAACATGTTAAAAGGATTTTCTGATGAAGTTTCTATGGAGAAAATGGATACTTTTTAAGCAGGAAATATTCAAGAAGCTGAAAGTGAACAATCTTGAATATTTGCCTTGATCCGAACTGTGAATAGATATTCTGTGATTTTTCTCTTAATTTTGGCTTTTAGCCTGTGAATATAATTTAAGAATCTTAAATTTGAATTTCAGATTTTACCATTTTTCTTTCCATGGAAAGCATAGATTTTTGTCTCTTACCTTTAAAAGTCATGTCAGTTTTGGTTTTAGAACATTGTGCCTTAAGTCCTGTCATGGTTTCTGATAGCTGATGGCAAATGCTTCTTAGATTTGTGTAGACTAGCTAGGAAAAGGACCACTTTGTCTCTTTTAGATGCATAGTGCTGTTTCCATTGATAGCTTGAAATGAGTTTTATTTTGAAATCCTGAAAGCCAGGACTTTGGTAAGAGGATAATTACATTGGCTATTTTATATTTCAGTAACTTAGGTGGTAAAACAGATGAAAAAATGTGTACAGCTTTTAATTAACACAAAAACCATTTAGACACTGCAAAAGGCTATTAAAAAACAAAAGTTTTATTAAAAAAATAAAACAAACGTTTATTAATGCCTGTGTAGGCCCGTTTTTGCAATTAAATATTGGTTTTTGATAAGGAGTTGTTAACCTTTTTTTTTTTTTTTCCCTCTGAGACAGAGTCCTACTCTGTTGCCAGGCTAGAGTGCTGTGGCATCAGCCTAGCTCACAGTAACCTCAAACTCCTGGGTTCCAATAATCCTCTTGCCTCAGCCTCCCAAGTAGCTGGGACTACAGCCCCTCCCCCTCACAAGGGCTGGCTAATTTTTCTATTTTTAATAGAGGCAGGGTCCTACTCTTGCTCAGGCTGGTTTTGAATTCCTGAGCTCAAGTGATCTTCCCCGCCTTGGGAGTGCTAGCATGAGTCACCACACCCGACCAGTTAACCTTTTCTATTACTGCAGAATAACTTGGCTGCTGATAAGTAGTATCTTTCATAGGACAATTACATTCAAACTCCTGCTTTTATTCCTGGAGTGCCAGAAGATTGGGATAGACAGAGCTTAAGAGCCTTCATTTCTGTGGAAGGAATATTTTATTTAGTAACTAATTATCAAAGTGGGATATAATTACTGCTCATAGATTGACCTGTGAGATCCATAGTAGTGGTTCTCAACCTATTTTGAGTTCATGAAATTTTTTGAGAATCTAAGGAAAGTTGTGGTCCTAGATCAGAAGATGCAAATACAGTAGAACCTCTGTTAGTTGACACTAAAGGGACTGTAACAAACTGGTCAACATATGGAGGTGATCAACAAAAGGAATGAGGCCTTCATATGTGTGGTGCATGTCCAATCTATTAAGTCAATTCAAGGGACTGGTCAGTGTAGGGAGGTGGTCAAATAAGGAGGTTGTACTGTATATAATTTCCTTCTCTCCCAACCTCATTCATGAATTCTATTTAAAAAATCCCTAAAAAGTAAAAGAGATATGAGAGATATATCTTACTCTTTAAGGATAGCTAGGTATCCTGAGACGTAGTTCTTAAATATTTCTGAAAGTTGAGCTGGGCTTGTAAGTCAAATTGGACTTATATGTATTATAGATAATCCTAATAAACTTCTGCTTATTTAGAACCCTTTGCTAAAGGGTTTTAACAAAAGTTATATTGTTGAATTACTAAATTGTCTAGTGAATTAGTGAATGAAAATACATTATATTGCATGCCCTCTTGTATGTAATACAACATACCTGGTTTTTCACTCTGAAAAGTGAAACAGGCTTAGAAGTAAACAAAAATAAATTGCACAGACCCTTGACATTAAACTTTATTCTTGCAGTGAGATCTTGAATCTTAGAATTAAAACATAATGAGGGGTGTATGTATAAGTATATAAATATATAAAAGACAAGTCAGCCTGGGCACAAGGACTCATGCCTAAAGTCCTAACACTGTGGGAGGCTGAGGTAGGGGGATTGTTTGAGGTCAGGAGTTGAAGACCAGTCTGAGTAAGAGTGAGACCCCAATCTCTACTAAAAATAGAAAAAATTAGCCAGGCATGGCAGTCCATGCCTGTAGTCCCAGCTACTTGGGAGGCTGAGGCAGGAAGATTGCTTGAGCCTCGCAGTTTGAGGTTGCAGTGAACTCTAATAGCACTATTGTACTGTAGCCTAGGTGACAGAAAGAGATCTTATCTCAAAAAATAAATAAATAGGCTGGATGCAATAGTTCATGTCTATAATCCTAGGACTCTGGGAGGTCAAAACAGGAGGATTTCCTTGAGCTTAGGAAGAAGCTCAAGCATGAGACCCTGTCTCTACTAAAACCAGAACAAATTAGCTGGGCTGGTGGCTGATGCCTATAATACTACGCACTTGGGAGGCTAAGGCAAGAGGATTGCTTGAACCCAGCAGTTTGAGGTTGTTGTGAGTGAGGCTGATGCCTTGGCACTCTAGCCTGGGCAACAGAGTGAGAGTTTGTCTCATAAATAAATACATACTTACAAACAAAGTGGGTAAAAATACACGGGAAACTGGTTAAAGCTTTGTCTTTCTCCCCTTCTACGGCCCAGGCTGAAGTGCAGTGTTGGGATTATAGCTCACTGCAGCCTTAAACTCCTGGACTCAAAGAATCCTCCTGTTACAGCCTCCTGATTAGCTAGGACTACAGGTGTGTGCCACCACACCCAGCTAATTTTTAATACTCGGGGTGTCCGTAAAGTTCACTAATTTAAATTGCACATGAATTCTGTGGACACCCTGTATTTTGTAGATACTGGATCTAATTATATTGCCCAGGCTGGTCTTGAACTCCGAGGCTAAAGCAATCCTTCGTCAGCCTCCTTGAGTACTGGAATTTTTTTTTTTTTTTTTTTTT